CATCTGAACATGTATGATGAAAACTACCCATTTTTCCTAGGGGTGGACACAATAACCGATTTTTACCATACCTAAGTTGTCTCATTTTACAAAAAATTGGAGGAAATTAACCCAAATAAGAACAAAAAAAAAATGTCGCAAATGTTTGGGTTCCATTATGTCGGTTAGAACTTAGAATAGCAACAATAAGAGAGATAGATTTTTGTANCATACATGACACACATCATTAACTCATACTAATATTATGATAAGAATACAAAATAGTTTAAAAATAATAAAACCTAATCTTATCCATCATTTAATTTTTGATGGACCACAAGACCCATAACTAGAAATATGGTGGGCTGTGATTGGCTGAATTACGGAGTTCTTTGATGTGCAAAAACGGTCCACTGCGAACACCAGCAGCAGCAGATCATTTGCTGGCACACATGAAAAGGAACTAAACGACAGTGCCTCCGAAACCTTTGACTTTTTCAATGATATATTGGCGCTCAAGTCAACACTCAACACCGTCTCCACCTTTGATTCACATCGGGCATTCAATGGCTTATCGCCTTGTGGGGCCTTTTGACCCCACACGTGTCAAACTCTTGTACAATCTCTATATTTGTGTAATTGTGTGATTGTTTTGTAAAGGAAAACACATTATTTTTTTGTTTTGAATAAATGAAAATCATTCATCCTGTTAAGTTTAATTATATAAATAATTTATAGAATGAAAAACATGAAAAATTATGGATTGTGATAACTGATAAGGATATTATCACTAAAAAAAACTAACATGTTCAGACGGAAATCAACAGTAAAATATAGTTTTATCCCAAAAATTCAATCATAAATTCCAACGAAATTATTACAACCCGGGGAAGGGGGTGCAGTCCCACTAGATGAAGTGCACCATAAGAGATGTGGGTCTAGTTGCACCTTAGTGAGGTTCCATCCCAAAACCAATTGGTGGTAGGAAGAGTAGTCCACTAGACTTATAAGTTAGGTCTATTTTTTCTGATACCATGAAGAAACGAGGGTTGACGGGTGCGGTCCCAGACGTGAAGCGCACCAAAGAACGGTGAGTCTAGATGGATCTTAGTTGAGCTCCATCCTAAAACCAATTGGTGGAAGGAGGAGTAGCCCATTAGACTTATAAAGTGGGTCTTTCATATATGAACGATGTGGGACAACTCACAAATGATATTCTAACATGACTGTTTCATTGAAATTTTATTTGGTGTTTGTTGGTTCCAACAACCATTTTTTCCAATGGTTTATTGTCGTAGAAATTTTGTTCGAATTGATTATTTCAAGATATGTTTCAATTGTAGAAAAATTTGTCGCTGGAATCTTCAAAATCCAAAAAATACTCAGTTAAATATTCATTTAATTAAATAGAATATGTTTGTAGGAATCTATTGGAATATTGAAAATGAATAGTATTGAAAAAGTTCTTAGAATATATTTACATTGAAATTTTATTATTTTCTTATAGTATATTTTGATTAAACATAAAATTTTGATTTACAAAATGAAATTTTAACATACAAATAGAACATTTATTGTATAAATTGAATAATAACATTGAAATTATTTATCAAGTATAATATAAGTCAAATGTATTGTGATTGTAGTCAGGTAATTATTTATACAAGTAAGAAGATATGAGTAATAATTATATTTTAAGAATAATATGATTGATTAGTAGTATTATTTAGAGTTGAGTCGAGTACTTCGTGTTTGAGCTCGTATTCATGCTTCTTTAATAAACGAGTCAGCTCGACTCTTTTAAAGTCGTGCAAGCTCCGCTCGACTTGATTCATTTGACAAATTCAAAATAGTAAAGAAGTTGTTCGCTACAAGATTATGCGTTCGCGAACAATGCATTGCTTGATTGTTCGCTTGAAACATATAAAAAGTAAAGGAGTAGTTCGAGAATGGAAGAATTGAGCTCAAACTTTCGTGAACGATATAAGTTCATAAGATATAAGAATATGTTACTACAAAAAAAAATGCATATTACAATGGAAAATAATACGCTAATATATTCCAATGGAAATTCTAACGGATATTCAAATGGTATAACTTCCGTTGGAATGATTCCAACGAAAATTTCAACAGAACTATTCCGTTGGATGGAGTTTCTATTGGAATTTGGATGAAATGTTATCATTCCAACAGCCATTAATCCAACTGTTTTTTACCGTAGTAATTTCCGTTATAATATACAATTTCCGTTTGAAATTTTATTTTCAACCATTGGAAATGTACCGTTGGAATCGTCAAAATCCAATAAAAAACTCATTCCAACTGAATATTTTTGTTGGAGTAATTTCCATTGCAATCCATTAAAAAATATCAACAGAAATAATAACATTGAATATCCATTGAAATTATATATCGTTGGAATTACATTGGAATATATTTCCGTTATAATTTTTTGTTGGAATTTCATCACATTCTTGTAGTGTGTATTATACGGTAAATCTCGTCTACAAATTATATTCTATTTATTAAAAATGTTTAGTATATTATAAAAATAATTAGAGTATGTTTGTTTATAAAAATTTTTGGTTTTGTTTAGATTTTTTGATTTGGTTTGGTTAGTTTTGAAAAAGGTGGTATGGTTAGTTGTTAGTGGGTATATTAAAATAATATTTAAAATAAAATAATTAAAATTGATTTGATGTAAAAGTAGGAGAGAGAGATTAGAAGTGATGGTTAGTTAAAATAATGTGAGAGGATGAATAGTGAATTAAGGTTGATGTTGTGTGTATGAATGATTGATTGATATTATTAATTATATTGATAATTTTTATGATAGTGAGGTTGAGTTAAAAAAAAATGATTGAGTTAAAATGTTGGAAATTTTTTGAAAAATTTAATAAACAAACATGCTCTTAAGGTTTGTATACGTATTGCTATCCCAACTTTTGTCTTATTTGCAATTTGTCTACGTGTCCATTAACAGAATAACAATAACACGTGTTGTTCGATTTCCCGCACACGTGGTATATCTAAAACCCCGGTGAACCAGTGATTTCCAATGGCAATGGCCCTACATTTTGACAAATTACGCAATCAAATTTAATTTTAATAATTTTTTAAGTAAATGTCATTATCAAAATTTGGAGAGATGATTATTGCACTAAATGTATTCTACTATCATTTTCAAAATATGGAGACTTCAAAGTAAAGTGGTCCAACATTGAATAATATTNTTTTTTTTTTTTCAAACGATAGAATCTATATAACTCAAACAAAAGATTTTTGTGCATATCGGTGATCCACTGATCACAAAGGGACCAAGCTACACCTAAATACTAGATCCAACTTGGGAAAAATTCAAACCAATCATGGGTACAAGCAAAGAGAACTGAGTCTAGAGCCAAACTATTACAGCTATAAAAAAAAGAGTGAAGAGAATAAGCAAAAGAACAACAAGAAAATAGAGAAGCCAACTGGATGATGTCTTCGTTTATAGCCTTCAAATTAGAACTGAAATTCCCTGGCAGATTAAGCTTGCTAGGAAATTTTTAAGATTTCGTAAATTATAGTGTATTTAACTTAATGTTTTAATAGTTTCAACAGTTTCAAGATATTAATTCGAAATTTTAAAAAGTCTTAAAAATAAAGAACTATTTAACTTATTTGAAAATATGATTTTTATAGATTTTAACATTTGCTGACATTTCAAAAGAAAAAACCATCCACGATATCTCACATTCAGGATTTCAGGCATAAGATTTCGTAGGATTTTTCATAAATATGAAAATTTTAAAAAATCTCAAATTTTAAAGAAATTAAAACATGTCACTCAAAATCTCAAACGAAAAAAAAAATGTTATAATTTCACATAACTAATAATATGAACATAACAAACTAATAAAAATGCTTAAAAAAAGTGAACATATATAATCAGAAATAAACCTGAAGACCCCTAATTTCTTTATAAGCAAAACTTCTAGATTAAACTGTATTAGCTCTTTTAATTCAGTTGATTTAATTGTTATCTAGTTTTGTGGTTTTCTATTTTTCATAATATATTTGCCAGATTAAATTGTATTAACTCTTCTAATATACCCGATTTAGCTATCATCTAGCTAGTTTGTAGTCTTCTATTTTTATTAATTATAATTACATATACAATTTCAAATAAATAAATATATATTAGAAAAGTAAACTCCCAAACTATTAAAAAACCTAATTTAAAATACTAGCCCACTTACCAACTTTATTCTATAAAGTCAAGCCTATGATTTCTATATATACATTACAACAATATCCTCAACTTTCAAAATTTTCCCATATATATTTCCAAAATCTTACACAAATCCTTACACACTTTCTCTAGTCTCTGCTCCATACAATGCATCCCTAGGAAAAAGCCAAGTAACACTCAATTCAAAACCCCAACTAGAAAAGGAAAAATAAAAGAAATTAAAGGGAATAAATAAATTTAAAAACCCTTTTAAAGAACAATTTTTTCAACCTTCTTTTCCAATTTTTTGTTTCTTTTATATTTGTTTCTNTTTTTTTTTTAAAAAATAAATTTTGTTTCTTTATTCACAAGGACAAGTGGTAAAATAAGCAATTTTGCTGTAAATCCATAACTTGAACAGTAATATTTATTCATTTTTAATTGTTAGTAGTAACACCACTTACGTACACTAGTATTCATTCATTTGAATTGCTCTTTCAGCAATATTACAGGTTAAGCGCTTAATTTTGTTAGATAATTATATTTTTTCAATAATTTTATTATTTATAAAAAAAATTAGAAAATATAACTAGATAACATTAACAATTTTTTTTTTTCGGTTGGTACAATCATATTGAAAGCGGTATAATAAATATTGAACAGTGAGGCTAGATAACTTTATCAATTATCACCGCTACTTGAATGCATATGAAAAGTCATCTATTTTGTTTTCTTGTCCGGTCAATTTAATTAATTAAGTTTTATTGATTTTTCATTTTCTTAATTTGGTTGTGTGTATATATTTTCAGGCTTGCTTAGATGCAGCAAGAGTTGCCGGCTCCGGTGGACGAATTACCTCCGGCCGGGGATCAAACTCGGGAATTTCACTGAACAAGAGGAGAAGATGATTACCCACCTCCAAGCTCTTCTTGGAAATAGGTAATTGTTTTTTAATAATTCAAGCATTATATTATTTAAATTTTATTTTAGGAAATTGTTATTTTGTTTCAACTTAGTTTAATTAATTTAAAGTGGTAGTGTTGTCTTAGTAATGTTTAGACTGATCTATATATATTTGCATACTTTAGAACTTAAATATCATACTTAAAAAAATAATATATATATTCCAAGTAAAGAAAATTCTAAGGGACATATATGTAATAACTTAATATGTACTACAAAGAGATCCATACTAAACCTTTTTCGTGGAATTATAATTGGAATTTGATGTTTCAATTCTATTATTATATTGATATTGTATTTCCCGTCAATAATTCAAACAATTGAAAAAAAAAAAATACTGTTAAAATCGTAAACCTTCAATACAAATATAAGTGGAAAATCAATTCCAACATAACTATTGTCGAAAATTTCCAACAAAATTAATAATATTTGAAATATTATTTGAAATTTTTGTTGAAATTCTGTTGAAATATATTGTCATTGGAATTTGATAATTGCTTAACAATAAACACAAAATATGATATTTCATATTATTATAAAATGTGTGTTTTTTTAAGGTGGGCCGCCATAGCATCATACCTCCCTCAAAGAACAGACAACGATATCAAAAATCACTGGAACACACACTTGAAGAAGAAGATGGCAAACAAAACTAATAATGAAAATGGAAATTCATCAGATATCACTAAATCTCAGCCACCTTCAAAGGGCCAATGGGAAAGAAGGCTTCAAACAGATATCCAAACAGCCAAACAGGCCTTGCGCGAGGCCCTTTCACTAGATAAACCATCAGGCCCAAAGCCCAAGCCCTCTGCCCCACAAATTGCCAGCCCAATCTATGCATTGAGCGCAGAAAACATCGCTCACTTACTCGGTGATTGGACGAAAAAGTCCCCAAAAAAAGTTTATAGGCCGGGTTCGCCCGACAGTAACCCTTCATCGGCGGGCCCGACTTGTAGCCCGAGTGAGGGGCAAATGAGTAATTTCACTTTTGCCGGGTTCAATGCTTTAACTTCGGAGATTGACCAAGATGTAGTTGCAAGTTTGACTAGTGCACATGAAAATGAGCTTGTCCAAGATCATGAGGGTAAAATGACCCAAATGCCGCTTTGCCTGCTGGAAAAATGGCTATTTGATGAGGCGGCTGCACAAGGGCAGGATGGGAATTTCATGGATACGGCCTTGGGACAAACTGCTGATTTGTTCTGAATTACAAATTTAGAATTAAGGACAAACAAAAAAAATTGTAATTTTGTTAAGCAGTTTGGAAGGTGTTTTGTTCAGCAGGTTTATACTTTTTAGGATTTGAACTAATAGTTTTTTTGTTTTTTTGTTTTTTCTTTTTAACGTCTAAACTTTTTCAATATATGATGTCATGTGTTTGGAGAACAGAAATAAAGCTTCAGATAACACTGACTTTCATGAACATTAGTTATTACTCATTAATTTAAGTGGTTCACATCACAATATACAATGTAAAACATTACTCCCTCCTATTTTAAATATTTGCCATCCTGGCAATCAACACACTAATTAAAAAATATTTTTTTTTCAAGTTTAACCCTATTTAATGACACAATTGTGGATGGATATTCTTGGGAATATGAAGAGACAATGGGTATTGATGGATGAGTTAAAAGGGAAAAATATGAACAAAATAGCCAAAACGACATTTATTTAACAAATGATCAATTAAGCTAGAATGACAAATATTGAAAATAGGAGGAAGTACAATTTTCTAGCAAATTAAACANCTTTAACCGCTCGTTTTTCCGATTGGTTCGAATCGAGCTTCACTGGAGACTTGTTTGGCTTTTGCAATGTATCAAAATTTCTGACAAGAAAACTCGTGCCTCTCGAAGCCATGACGATATCCGTTTGGATGAACGAATAACCAATACAGAGAAGTATAAATATAATGGCTCTATAAGTTAAGCAGAACATTTTTCTCTCTCTCTTTTTTTTTTTTTTTGTTTTTGTTTGTTTATTTTTGGGGAAGTAGGGCAAAATGAAAGGGTTATTTATCTGTTTGGAAATTGTGAGGCTGCTCAAGTGCTATAAAACTGGGTTATTTGTATCAGCATTTTTGTGGGGGGATTAAAGCAAATAAAGTGTAAAGAAGGGCCCAGTGCATGAAGATTCACTCCCAATCATAAGAAGCAATGTGAAAAAAGGCTGTTTTGGAAGGCCCTTGGCAGGTTTGAACAAAAAAAGGTTTGAGTTTGGAGTTTGTTTTTCTAATCACAAATTCGATCTATTGTCTTTTCTTAACAAAAAATATTCACTGAAAATGTCATACTTTTGTTTATATTGTTTTTTAAATGTGTGTCACTGGCTCATTTGTATGAAAGTGATGCATATTTTGTTAAAGACACGAATTTGGTGTGGGACAGTCTAACTGTTAGGCGGGTTAATCACGCATACTTTTGTAATTAAAATGCATATATACTTATATTTCGAAATGTCATATTTTTTCTTATATTGTTTTTAGAGTATGACATTTTAATTGGAAAATACGCATATTTTTTGAAAAAATATTTATTCTTTCAACAATAGGAACACGATCATTTTCTTGTATTGCAACTAAAGTAAGAAGAATAAATAAACTCATCTATTATCAAATTTGATTAATCTACAAGTTTGATTGCAATGTGCTTTTTTTTATCAAATCTCCCATCTTTAGAATTCCAAGCTCTTCTCTCAATGCAAATGGCAATTAAGAGTTTTGTGGTTTCTTGTGCTTAATGGATTTCCTTTATGCTTTTCTTTTGCTCCATCTTTAGATTGTATAGAAAACCAAGCACGCCATTCAAACTTGTAACAGTCCTTCACATACACTTCTCATCCTTTGCTTTGTACTTTCTTTTGTTATATTTTCCAAGAAAAAAGAAGGAAGAAAATTCCCACTCACCTATGCATACATTTCTTTTCAATTTTATAGGATTTACAACTACATTTATTTTATTTTATTTATTTATTTTTTCATATTTTCCAAGAAAAAAGAAAGAAATTTCCACACTTACCTATGCATATCGTTCTTTTCAATTTTATGGGGCTTACAATTACATTTATTTTAGATTTCAATATGTGTTACAGCCTATTAGAAAACACTTGATGGAGATAGTTCCACATTTTATTTTCAGTAATGAGCAGCAAGATAATTGTTAGACAGGTCTTACGGTAATACAACTATATTTGTGCACAAATATGCACATTTGAATACTTAAATACCTTACTATAAAATACAACATAAATAAGTGTTAGAAACCCATATTTTTTAAACATATATATAAACAATTTTTCATACTAAAGTACCTTACTTTGAAAAACAAAAATTGTGACATTCATAATATAAATATGTATTTTTTTTTTTCATACAAAAGTGTGAAGGGGCACACAAGAATTTGTGTTAAATTAGATGTAAGGATTTCCAATTGAAATAGAGGAGTTTGTGCATAAATTTTACTAATTTCACGTATCATGAATGTGCTAGAAATTAGTGTTGTTAAATTAAACGACCCTGGCTCGGCTCAGTTCAAGCTTGGCTCGTTAACGCTCGAGCTCAAGGCCTTAACGAGCCGAGTTCGAACTCATTTAAAGCTCGTATGATTAACAACTCAGCTCAATAAGGCTCGGAAAGAGTATTTTTATATAATTTTTTATAATTCGACTCGTCAAAACTCGAGATTGGATCGTTAAGACTCAAACTCGACTCGTTAATAGTGGTAACCAGTCGAGCTCGAGTTCATTTAAAGCTCGTTTGATTAACAACTCAACTCCATAAGACTCGAAAAGAGAACTTTTATATAATTTTCTATAGTTCGACTCGTTAAAGTTTGAGATCGAATGTTAAGGCTCGAACTCGACTCGTTAATAGTGGTAACGAGCCGAGCTCGAGCTCGATTTCTAGACAGGCATAGTTGGAATATAGTGGATTAGAGCATAAGCGGTATCAAATGACTTGGTACATTAGTAATTTAGTATAGATTACTACAAAAGAACCGAACTGGACTTGAGCTCTTTATACTTGAACTCGGGCGGGCTTTATTCGGTCCAGAGACAAGAGAATATGGGTTGGGCTTAATTGGGTCCGGTTAGCCGGTTGAGCTGAACTATGATTTTATGGGTCCAATTATCATACAATTTGGGCCCATTAACGAAAGTGGGACTTGGCATGCTCATTTTTACGGTTAATGGACCCATAATTAGAACGATGACAGAGAAACAGAGGTGATATATTTTATTTTTTATTCCAAATAAAACCTAAGAGAAACCTAGGGTTTAAGCTAACTGCTCGGAACCTCACTAATGGCTGACGAGTTGACTCCCGAGGTCCCGATGGAAAACGAACCGGAACCACAAGGCGCCGGTGAGCCGGTTCCGGCGGAGGAGAGTTCCGGCGACGGCGCCTCGAAGCGCGCCAGGGAGGAAGATGAGGCGGCGGATGAAAATGGAGAGAAAAAGGCGAAAATCGAGGGCGACAAGTCTGGAGATGGTGTTGAGACAATAGAGGAGGATGGGACGGAATCAAGCGGCGCCACCGTCGGTCCGAAAACGTTCGGGTCGTCCGTTGAGATTTTCGATTACTTCTATAAGCTTCTTCATGCCTGGCCGGCCAATCTCGACATTAACAAGGTACATGTGACGTCTGAGATTTTGTGATGTTTGCGACGCTGTGTACTCTGGTTTGGAGTTTTGTGATTTAAGTTGAGATTATGAATAGAGTGGTGTTGGGATTCAATTGGGGGCAATATATATGCTCAGCATGTTGAAAGCTTTTCATATTTGGGTCATCTCTTAATTATTTTTTTTTTATTTNAATGTCTTAAAAATGAAACATAGTTTCATTCAACAGGAATGAGAAAGTGCAAATGAATGTGGGGGTATTGCCAAATTACAATCTTTTCACTCTCTATTTGTTGTCACCCTTGTTTTGGTCATGAAACACAAGGGTGGTATTTTAGCTGAAACAAAGACAAAAGATGGTATTGTTACAAATTTCCAAATGATTGGCCCATTAGTATCTTTTATGGAGATTATTGGGAGAACTTTGGAGGAAAAACTAACTTCTTGATGAACTAGGTCCATTGATATCTGATTTTCTGTTTAATTCTGTATAAATTCACTGATTAGGAACTCTATTTGTTCTCACTTTCCAGTTCATCATGGAAATACACCTTGTTTGGAATGAAAATAATGTGGAGATTTTCATTGTCTACACTGTTCTTTGTTTTCAGTTATACACATGTTGTTGGATAGAGTAAAGACTGCACTATGATGTTGTTTTGCTGATTTGGTTGAATGTTAACTTGTTACTAGAAACTTCTAGTTTAGGCATTGTGAGGATGAAAAATCCAAACGTAGAAGTTTTTTCCTTGCTAGAACTAATGAAGCCAAGCACAATAGTCATGCATTTATTGATTGAATGGATCTAATCTAAAATCAACGGAGTTTATACCTTGATATCCGTATGTTTAACTACTTGCACCTCGGTTATGGGATTAAATTGCCTGATTAGTAAATGTTAAGCCTAAAAGAATGTGATTATGCCATCCAAAAATACAAATGAAACTAAATTCTAGATTACTCTTGGATCTCTATCTCTTGTATGATGTATGTTCCGGTTTTAGGTTGTGTTTGGTAAGCATATAAGCTAGCTTAGCTTATTTGATTAGCTTATAAGCTTTATGTATTCAAATAAGCTTGGTTTGGTAGGACGGACATTTTTAAAAATCTCGATCTTATTTCATAAGCTTCCTTGGGTAGCTTTTCAATATAAGCCCATTAAAATTTTTAATTTTACCAAACACTTTTATCATATAAGCTAGATTTTCAGCCCTAAGTCATAAGTTATCAGCTATAAGCTCAAATATAAGTTTACCAAACATATCCTTAACTGCCCACTCTAAATCTGCTTCTATGTATACTATTGCAAGCTCACTCTGTCTTATATTTCTTGCTCACAATTAGTATGAGCACTTAATGCTGCTAGCACTCCTCAAGAAAGGCCACTCAGATGCAGAGAGAAAGATAGGGAGTGGGATTAAGGCCTTCCAAGTTCGTTTTCACCCTCAGTTTAAGAGCCGCTGTTTTTTCCTCACGAGAGAAGATGGATCGACCGATGATTTTAGCTTCAGGAAGTGTGTGGATCAGATTTTGCCTTTGCCCGAAAATATGCAGATAAAAAACGATGTTAATAAGGCATTGCGTGGAAAGGGAGGTGGCCGGGGGCGTGGTCGTGGTCGTGGCCGAGGTGGGAAATGAACGGAAAAAGAGAGAGAGAGAGAGAGAGAGAGAGAGAGAGAGAGAGAGAGAGAGAGTCCCGGTGCTTGTAGTTTATTAAATTCTGTTTAAGTTTTGCGTTGAGCTTTCTTGAAACTTATTACTTGTGTGATTTTTTGTTTTGACTTGGAATTTTTTCATTTTGCCATTTGATTGCCTTCCAAATGATGTGGCTTTTTAAATGATTCCGTTTCAGTTGTTTGTTCTGAATTTATTTTCCCTTTGTGCGTGTGCTATATGGATATGCAGTTTTAATTTTTAAACACACGGGCTGACATTAGACAAACACTGGCTGCTGAACAGCCTGAACTTTGGTTCTTGACATTACATACCTTAAGCTTTATGTCGAGGTTTATATATGTATATGTATGTGTGTGTGTGTCTGTTTTAAATAGCATTTTCCAATTGCCAAATTTGCAATGCACTATCATAAGTCATAAGTTTTTGTGCGAAACAACTTAATTAGTTGGATTGTATATATATTTGTCGTTTAATAAATATGCAGTCATGAAGGAGACAACATAACTAGCATACATATTTTTCTTTTAATAAAAGTTCAATTTTGTGAAACAAACTAACTAGCACTTCATATTAATAAAAATGTTGTCTCGTCATATACTTCTTAATAAAATTGCATATTCATGCTATACAATATCATAGCATACTTCTTTAATAAAAAGTACATGTCCATACTATACAATATCCCAATCCTAATTATATAGCATACTTCTTTAATATAAGTACGTGTTCATACTGTACAACATCCCAATCCTAATTATATAGCATATTTCTTTAATAAAAGTGCATATTCATATAAATGTTGCGTTTTGAAGTTATGACATTTGCAATGTGCTAAATTATATAGATGTTAAAGCGTTTTGAAGATATAACATTTCAATCTATAAAAATGTTTGTTAGATAAAAATATGAGCACGGGAACAAGTTTTATCGATTAGCACCAAAACGCGACGTAAGAGAGGCCAACGGAATCAAAACCCACCGGAAAAACTCCGATGAACGCCACCCATCAAGAGCAGACGCTCATCTCCCTCATAAAATCCTGCTCCCACAAATCCCACCTTCTCCAGCTCCACTCCCTCCTCATCCGCACCTCCCTTCTCCACAGCCCCGCCGTCTTCCGCCCCTTCCTCTCCCGCATCGCCCTCCCTCCCTTCCTGGCCCTCTCCTACGCCGGCAGAATCTTCCGCGATTTCCCGGCGCCCGGCGTCTACCTCTACAACACCATAATCAGAGCCCATTCACTGAGCCCCGACTCGGCCCACGACGGCCTCCGCCTCTACCGCGACCTGCTCGGTTCGAACATCCCTCCGAACTCACTGTCGGCGGCCGTGGCCGTCAAGTGCTGCGCCCAAATCGAGTCCCTCCGCGGCGGGGCCCAGATTCACGCAAGGATATGTAAAGATGGGTTTTCCTCCGATGGCCGTTTAATGACCACGTTGATGGATCTGTACTCTTGCCTACACGAAGGTAGCAGTGCGTACAAGGTGTTCGAGGAAATGCCTCACAGAGACACCGTTGCTTGGAACGTGTTGATTTCTTGCTGCACGCGTAACGGGCGTACCCTTGATTCATTAACCTTGTTCGAAAGGATGATTAGCAACTCGAGTTGCCCGCCGGATGATGTCACGTGCTTGCTCGTCCTCCGGGCCTGTGCGAACCTGAACTTGCTCAACTGGGGCAAAAAGGTCCACAGCTACATTTTAGAAAACGGACTTTCCTGCGCGAAAAATCTCTCCAACTCTCTCATATCGATGTATTCTCGATGCGGAGCCATTGATAAAGCATACGAGGTTTTCCAAGAAATACCTGATCGAGATGTGGTGACATGGAGTGCCTTGATTTCGGGCCTGGCGAGCAATGGCTACGGCCCAGAAGCCATCCGGGCCTTCCACCAAATGTGTGCAGAAGGGATTTCTCCAGACGAGCAAACGTTCACCGGGCTTTTATCTGCCTGCAGCCATTCGGGCCTGGTGGATTCGGGCCGGGCTTTTTTCGAGTCCATGGGCCGAGACTATGGCGTGCAGCCGAGTATCCACCATTACGGGTGCATGGTGGACCTATTTGGCCGTGCGGGCTTACTAGACGAGGCTTACGAGCTCGTGAACTCTATGGAGATAATAAAACCGGACCCCACGATGTGGAGAACGCTGCTCGGGGCGTGTAGGATTCACCGTCATGCGGCCTTGGGAGAACGGGTGGTCGAGCGTTTAGTCGAGCTCAAGGCTCAAGAAGCAGGGGATTACATTCTCTTGCTGAATATTTATTCTTCTTCAGGGGAATCTGAAAAAGTAATGGAAATTCGGAAGATGATGAAGGAAAAGAGCATACGAACAAAACCGGCTTCCAGCTCGGTGGAATTGAAAGGTGAAGTGCATGAATTTTTCGCAGACAATGTTTCGCACCCGAAGAAGAAGGGTATTTATGGAATGCTTGATGAAATTAATCAGCAGCTGAGAATTGCTGGTTATGTAGCGGAAATGGAGCCGGGTCGTGAGGTTTTGTACCATAGTGAGAAATTGGCTATTGCTTTCGTGATTCTCGAGACGCCACCTGGAACGACTGTGAGAGTGGCGAAAGATTTGCGTATATGTACGGATTGTCATAATTTTTGCAAGATTTTGTCGGCGGTTTATGACCGGAAAGTGGTGGTTAGGGATCGGAACCGGTTTCATCACTTTCGAGAAGGAAGGTGCTCGTGCAATGATTACTGGTGATTCAGTTGGCCGCCATTTGTAACGGTAAAAAATTTATACGGAAAATGGTCAGAAATTTTGGTGTGGAGAACACAAAATCGAAACACTGTATTGTTTCTTCTTTTCCCTTTCTTTTCAGATAGAAAAAAAACCTCAAATCAATATTCAGAAAAGGTTCTTCTTGATTACTTGATTAGTTTGTTAGGATATTATGCTGTGTTTGCTTGCATTGATTGCATATTGACATATATACCTGGTAAAAAGAAGCAAGAAGTAAAGGAAAGGAAAAACATTAGGAACTGACATATACTTACTATTATTGTTTATATAATAATGTAACTCAGTATTTTGATTTATGTATCTAGATTTGTATGACATTAAAAATATTATAATATTTATTATTCAATATATTTGGTTAAATTATTTGATGAACATAACATATTATGCATTTTTATATAATGATGCATACTTTTATCTTGGCTTGGTTGATGTAACCAAAGTGGATAGGTCCACTTTACATTAAGCTCTTAAAACTTGATATGTTTCAAGTTCTAAGCTTGTTTAGTGGAATGCAACTATGCAAGTTAACAGTTCAAATTTGAAAATTTATCCAGCACAAGTAAATTATTGTAAGTGCAAGTTTTACTGTAAAGAAAACAAAAAAAAGCGAAGAATATTTTTGTCACTCCCAAAAAAGCCTTCAATTAGTTAACCAAAACGTCTTTTTTTACAGCGAATTGCTCCAGGGCCTACAACTACAAATAAGGCTAATGTTAGGTGAACTTACCATAGGAAATTCTAGTGGTCAGACTTATACTAGTCAGGACTTTATTATATATGTGTACCATATATATCCTCAAACATTAGAAACTGTATTATACAGTTTTGCTCTCCTGATTAGCTCATCTTCTAAGTTAAAACTTCTATGATTAGTTCGATTTGTTTATTTATTTATTTATTTATTTTTTTCTGTGATCTTCATCATAGACTTGAATTGATTGTGGTAATAATTTATGTTTTTTCTTTTAAATATCTTGTGGAAGCTTTAATTATTTGCCTTAATATCCTAATACAAGGTAGTTTGCAGTTGGTTAGGATCCCTACCAATATTAGTTCATCAAACTTCCTCAACCCTTTTTACCTGTTTTTCTTTCTTTATTCAAAAAGCATCCCCATAATGTACTTTCTGTTTTTATGTTGTGTTCTCAAACCATATATAAATATTTTTTTCTCAAGTATTTTTTCAACAATGGTCAGGCTAAAAATGGTGACAATAATACCATTTTACGCAATTTTTTTCTCGTTTTTTGCTAGTGGATACAACTGCAAGGTGGTTCAATTCATCTTTGGGGATTCTCTTTCAGATGTTGGTAATAACATTTATCTATCCAAGAGTCTAGCTCAAGCTAATCTGCCATGGTACGGTATTGATTTTGGGAATGGCTTGCCTAACGGTAGGTTTTCTAACGGGCGAACTGTGGCTGATATCATAGGTAAGTTTGAAGGAGAAAAAATAACTTTATACACTGTATATATTCCACTACTTGATAATTAGATGTTCGTATATTATGTAACGATGATATCATCTCAGGCTAAATTGCATTTTTAGTCCAGCTGATTTAACGTCGTAGCAATTTCACTCGACTGAAATTGCAACAAATTCCCAAATTTATAGATTTTTTTATTAGCAATGGAAGTACTATAATTTAAAATTTTGTTGCAATTTATGTCCTGTCAGCAACAAATTAAATCATATGACCAAAAGCGAAAAGTTGGAACATTGGGACTAAAATTGCGATAGTGTTAAACCAAGACTAAAATGCAATATTTGCTATCATCTTATACACAGTGATATTCACAACGAGTTTCTAAAATTATTTTTTACGAATCCACAGGCGATAGAATGGGACTCCCGAGGCCTCTTGCTTTTCTTGATCCATCTTTAAACGAGGACCTCATACTCGAAAATGGAGTGAATTACGCGTCTGGAGGAGGCGGCATTTTGAACGAAACAGGATCGTACTTTGTAAGTATACAACAACAACAACAACATAGCCTTTTAGTCCCAAGCTTTGTACTTCTACATATAGCATCAAAATTATTCTCGTAAAAAAATCCATTGCAAGTCTTGTCAGTCCAAAACTGTTTCATTTTTTCGTAAAGGTCCAGAGATTTGGCTTGTACAAGCAGATAGAGCTATTTCAGGGCACTCAAGGTTTGATAAGGGCCAAAATCGGAGAAAATGAGGCTGACAAGTTTTTCAATGGAGCTCGATATGTGGTGGCACTTGGTAGCAATGATTTCATCAACAATTACCTAATGCCCGTGTACAAAGACTCGTGGGCTTACTCTGACGATGGTTTTGTCGATTATCTTATGGATACTCTCGAGGGTCAACTCAAAGTACGTTTCCGTTTATGAATTAAAAGAACCGATGTTCGCTTAAACTAGAACATAAGCTTGGAATGACAATTAAATGATGAAGAGAGAGAAAAAAAAAAGTTCCTTAATTTCGACTATGTGATCTTATTCATGCTTAGGTAGGTAATGGCTAAATTGCAAATTTGGTCTATATTAGATTATATTAGATTGTGAAGGTAGCAATTTAGGTCTCATTGGAGTGACATATAGCATTTTTAAGTCCTACTCTGGTGCAATTTCATTTCAGTACTTTGGCTGTCAAAATTCCTAATTTATATATTTGGGATGGATTTTGATTAGCAATTTACGACTTATGATTAAAATTTTTGTTGCAGTTTTAGTTATTTTAACCGTCAAATTGATTTTGAGAAATTTAATTGCAGCAAAATGTTAAATTACATGAATTAAATTGTTATATGTCATTCCAGTGACACCTAAATTGCTACCTTCATAATCTAACTTATAGGACTAAAATTGCATTTTAGCCATAGGTAACTGTAGTTTCATAGTTAGACATGCCCAAAACCGGTTCTGAGTCAGAACGCCTGTTTCGGGCCAAGCGGCCTGAACCAACCCGAACATATGCGCAGGCCGGTTTGGTGAACCACCGCGGCTCGGTTCACTAAAAATTAAATAAAAAATAATAACAAAATTAAAAAAAAAAATGACTGAACCGCCGGTTTCGGTTCCGATTCCTATAGCGGTTCACAAAGTATATATGTGTGGCACGGAACCGGCCTAGTTAAACAACAGACTCGGTTCAAGGCCCGTTGACCATGGGCCGGTTTGCCGGTTCGACCCATGGTCATGTCAATTCCTAGGCTATGTTTGGTAGACAAATACGCTAGCTTATAGATATGTACTTTTTACTACTTCTATGGGCTTTTATTGAAGTACCTTAAAACACGAGGTTGATATTTGTTGTTTAACATGCAGCTGCTGCATAGCTTAGGCGCTCGGGAGCTGATGGTATTCGGGCTGGGCCCAATGGGTTGCATTCCGCTCCAAAGAGTGTTGAGCACGTCAGGCGAATGCCAGGTCAGGACAAACAACTTGGCCTTAAGTTTCAACAATGCATCTAGCCGACTCGTGACTCGACTGTCGAGCACTCTCCCAAATGCGACCTTTAGGTTTGGAGATGCTTACGATGTTGTCAACGAGTTGATAGCAAATCCGAACCAACATGGTGAGCCAAAAACATGGCATTACATCATTTTGAGCCGAACTTGTGGGAGTGTTTTAGTATTTTTTTTTAGTGGCTAAATTGCATTTTTAATCCTGCTGGTTTAACGTGCAATTTTAGTCTAAAGATTCTAACAGATCCTGTGATTTAGTATTTTGCCGCAATTTCAGTCATTTGAGTATTGAAATTGCAACAAAAACCAACCCAAATTTGTAGATTTTTTATTAGCAATTTAAGTCTTATAATTTAAAATTTTGTGGCAATTTCAGTATGTAATTTAAAATTTTGTTGCAATTTCAGTTCTCAAATGACTGAAATTGCAGCAAAGTATTAAATCACATGACTAAAAGGTGAAAAGTTGGGACCTAGCGACTAAAATTGACGTTAAAGCACCAGAACTAAAAATGATTTTTTTGCCATTTTTAGTTTGAGTTTGTGTTTTGTGTTTTTGGTTGTTTAGGCTACCTTAGCGTAGACCTTCCTCTAGATTCAAGTAGCTGATAGATTCGGTTGTTTTTAATTATTAGTGTGATTATTATAAAATCTATCGTTTCGAAAAAAAAAGGTTCATTTTGAAATGCAGGATTTAGTAATGCTGATTCGCCATGTTGCTCTTATGGGGTTATTAGGCCGGCTCTAACATGCACACCTGCATCGACACTGTGTAGAGACAGAAGTAAGTACGTGTTTTGGGACGAATATCATCCTTCGGATAGCGCTAATCAGCTTATTGCAGACGAGCTTATAAAGAAGTTTGGATTCGGGCCCGTCAACCAAACAGGGACTAGTTCCCCTGCACCTGCCATGGCTCCATCGGACTTTTGGAAGTTAAAGACTTTCAGAAATCGTTAAGATTTGATATTTTTTTTATTTTCATTTTTATTGTCGGAGTGTGATTGGATTGTATTATATGAATCTGCTCAACAGAAATTTGTGTACTAACCTCAATATGATAGAATTTTGTTTTAAAGAATTATTAAACAGGAACATAGATCCGGAGATCAAGGTCAAATGACTCCAATCTTCAAGATCAATTTGATTATTTTTCTTGGTAATTGAGCATTAGAAGTGATATTAAAATATAAGCTGTGAACATATTAAAATATACTCCCTCCTATTTTTAATAAATATTGTTTTGAAAAGTTGCACATTAATTAAGAATTTTTTTTTTCAATAATAACCCTAATTAATGAGAATAGAGATAGATGTTTTGAGAAAAGATGAAGACTGAATATGAAAAGACGTAATGTATTTATGAGCTATATGAGGGTAATAATGAAAAAATATGTACAAAATATTCAAAACGTCATTTATTTAGTTAATTGTTGATAAAGTTAAAATGACATTTAAAAAAAATAGGAGGTAGTATATGTTCATCATGTTACTTTCAAAACTTTCACATTAGTTTTTCACTCAAATCATTATTAACTTTTAATTAATGTCACACTTGGCTGTTTCCAAATTAATTGAGCTATCTTCTTCAATTGTTGATACCAAAGGGAAAATTTTGAAATTTGCTTTCTCAATTAACTTTTGAAGCACAACCCAAGTAAATTTGATGCATAATTTCACCACTTAACTACATTAAATTCGTACTCCCTCCTATTTTTAATAAGTGTCGTTTTGAGAATTTTTTTTTTGTTAATAATAAACCTCATTAATAAAGATGTGAAGAGTGAATATAAAAAGACGTAGTGTATTTATTAGATAGATGAGGGTAATAATAAAAAAATATGTACAAAAGATTCAAAACGCCATTTATTTAGTTAATTGTTGATAAAGCCAAAATGACATTTAAAAAAATAGGAGATATTACAAAATACAGATGAAAAATTTAAGGCCTTCTCCAAGAACCTTGGGCTAAAAAAAATATGTGACCGAAAATCTGTGAAAAAAACAAGAGTAAACATTGGTTCCAACTTGTAATATGCGTGCTTTTGAAAATCGCAACCTACAATATGTTTTTGTTGTAAATTGCAATTTGAATTTCATGAATATTCATAATTTACACACTTCTTATTTTTTGAATATACAATCATCTGCAAAAATTGACATGTATATGGTCAAGGCGTAGGTTTTATCACAATATGGACATTTATAACAAATCTTTAGTAATAATACAAAAACTATTGAACCTACTAATAATATTAATAAAAAAGTGTGAAGTTTATCGTGGACATATATAATATTATCCATTCACACTTCTTACTTTTTGAATATACAATCATTCGCAAAAATTGAGAGGCATATGGTCAAGGTGTAGGTTTTATCACAATATGGACATTTATAACAAATCTTTAGTAATAATACAAAATCTATTGAACCTAATAATATGCTAATAATAATAAAGTGTGAAGGTTATCGTGGACATATATAATATTATCCATGCACGATGCTAACAATTTCCAATAGAAAAAAAAAAAATTGCCGCGTGATGCGTGAATATGAGTCGTCAACTTAAAGCTTCATTAATGGCGAAATATGGGGAAGCATAACACCATCTCCAAACTCCACTATATATATGCATGTTATTAATGGAAAAAGAGAGCCATATGTACAAATTAAGCGAAAATCTTAAAGATTATTTCTGCCAGAGAGAGAGAGGGAATAAAAAAAATTGATAACAATGCACATCAAAGTGACAAACTCAACTCTAGTGAAAGCCAATAAAGCCACACCTAATACCAACCTATGGATCTCCAATTTTGATGTCCAAATGCCCACGGGCTTCCACACCCTAACCCTATATTTCTACCGCTTCACGGGCCGGCCCAACTTCTTCGACCCGAAGGTGCTCAAGGAGTCCCTGGCCCAGGCCCTGGTCGACTTCTACCCAGTCGCGGGCCGGCTAGGGCTGGACGAGAATGGCCGCAAGGAGATCATTTGCAACAACGAAGGCGTGCTGTTTGTGGAGGCTGAGGCCGATGGCGAGATGGACGAGTTGGGCGAGTTTGGGCCTAAACTCGGCCTTGCTCCGTCAGTTGATTATTCGAAGGGTATTTCGACCTACCCGTTGTTCTTAGTGCAGGTGGTGAATTTTTTTAAGTTTTTTTTTTTCTTTTATGAATAAAAATATTTAATCATTGTAATGACAACAAAAAATTTCGTTTCGAAAAAATTACACTAATATAAAATTTTATAGGATAAATTGTATATGTGCTCTCTCTCTCTCTCCATTCACAAATAAAACTTCTACATAAAAATCTGATATATCCTGAAAGACTAATTGTTTAGAATCATGTTACATTGACATAATGATTGACATAAATTTTGACATAGGTGGCAAGATATATATGGTGGTTGTATTCATCACGTCACCTTTAACATCAACAAATTCTATATTTACACGTCATTTAAATAGTTTATTATGTCAAAAAGTTAAATTAAAGTAGCATTACTTCAATCGTAACATATTACAGGTGACCCGTTTCAAATGTGGCGGGGTTTGCCTAGGTTTCGCGTACGAGCACAACCTTTCTGACGGATACTCCGCTATTCATTTTATCAACACGTGGTCTGACCTCGCTCGTGGCCTACCCATCTCGATGCCTCCTTTCCTCGACCGAACAGTCCTCCGCGCGCGCGATCCGCCCAACCCTATGTACCGGCACACTGAGCTCCAATTCCTCACACCAACAAAAACTCAACTTGTAAACCAATCCCCAATGAAGTACTCGGCTTTCAAGCTGACCCGCGCTCAACTCGACACCCTCAAGTATAAGTGCCAACACGCGTTCGGGGGGGTCCGTCCCGTGCCTTACAGCACGTACGTGGCCCTCGCGGCCCACGCCTGGCGGGCCGTCTGCAGGGCCCGTGGGCCCCCACCACCCGAGGATACTTGCCAGGAGACCTGGTTGTACATCCCGGTTGACGGGCGATCAAAGTTAGGGCTATCGAGGGGATACTTTGGAAACGTGATTGTCAATGCCGTGGTCGTTGCCTCGTGGGTCGAGCTCGTGTCGAGCCCACTGGGCTTTGCTGCGGGGAAGGTCCGCGAGGCGGTGGCGAAAATTGCAGAGGGGGCCTATCTGAGGTCGGCCCTCGATTACCTGGAGATGCACCCGACTAGTATGGGGGCCCGGACGGGTAGCCCATACGGGTGCCCTAACTTGGCGGTGATCGAATGGGCCAAACTGCCGTTTTACGAGGCGGATTTCGGATGGGGCGGGCCGGTTCACGTGGGCCTAGCCGAGGCCCCGTCCGAGGGAGCAACGATCGTGATGCAGAGCCGGGAGAACGATGGGGGGTTGTTGTACGCGGTCTCACTGCCGGAGGAGCAAATGGAGTTGTTTAAGGAGTATTTTTATGACATTTGACGTGTTTATGCGTGTGAACATGACATAACATGACATTTGATGCATGTGTAATGCTACATTGTCAATGGATGTTTTCACTTGTGTTGTCAACCTAGTTGTATACTATGTTGACAATGTAGCATTACGGATTTCGATTTTTTGCATTATTGTCTAGTCTAATATAGTGGGTGTGAATTGTGTGATTTGAGTCTTCTCTCCAAATATCATGGCTATGCAGGAGAATCGGTCTAAAACCAGGACCGGTTCGAATGGTTCACCGGTCCAAGTTTATGAATTTGAACTTGGTAGATTGTGAAGTGGTTTAAATAGCACACATATTTTACTTGTATTTCCTATGTGGGATATATTTCATTGCTGAAATTATCGGGCTAATATTGGGCCTAACAAACAAAATTGTACTCATTAAAAAAATGTATTGTTATTTAAAGTGAATTCTCTATTGAGCAATATTTATTTCTATTTTTTAAAGAAAAAAATAGAAGCAATTTATTTTATTGTTGTTTGTTATGCACATTATTTTTATTCTTTTAATCAATAATAAAAAATTTAAAATGTGATTTAAAATGAAAATTTAGTTGTTTCTACCCTCTCTATTTTATAAATTAAATATAGATTAAAATTTTAAATATAAAATAAAATAAAAAGTTAACAACATTATTCAACATTGTCGGTTGTATATATTATTGAACTTTTCTTTAAAGAAATGTCATATACTATAAAATTAATAATAAAATATATTTAATTATATATTATATATATAAAATAAATAAAAAATTATATATTAATTAAAACGGTTCGACCGATTCAATCGCTGATCCGACCAGTGAACTATTAAACCAGTAGCTTCACTTGTTCAAATAACATATTCGGTTTTAGAACCATGTTAAATATACAATGTTGCCTAAATCTAAACATACAGTCCGCAGTCATACTCTCATCTTTCCCTCCGCCGTGAGCCACCACCTACACACCAGCCTTGAGCCACGCATCATATCAGTCTTCATTTTTTTTTTCTCTCTCTAAGTTTCCTTCCACCGTACGAACTATGGCAACAGCCACCGTCGGAGTGTACTCCCAGATATGAGACACCGCCGGCGAGCATCCCATCTCCGAGATACCGCCAGCGCAGCTACCGAGCCCTAAGCCATCTCCACTTGATCTCTCCTTTGTCAATTTGGGGAGGGGATTTCAACATCGCGACTCACATAGCCTGCCCTAAGCAACCGCAGGGGCACATAGCCCTAAAAAACTGCGGCGCACCCCAGTTGGTCCACCACGCGCCTCCACCTTCACTTTGCTCCACCATCGTGGCTCCACCTCTGCCTGGGTCCACCACCGTCACAAGGTACTCTATCTATCTCTTTTTCCGTCTCCCCTTTTTCTCGCCCTCTTTGAGTATTTTAGTTTCATATGATCTGTGTTTTGTGTGTGTTCTGAGGTATGGTTTTGTTTTTGGATATTGGATGCCTTGTTTTGGATGAAACTGATTTGTGTTGATTTTATAATTGGGGCTTTTGGCTGGTAGCAACACCTGTTTTCTTGCTTCTTAGTTGCTGCGTATTGCTTGCTAACCCTTTTTGGTCCTCGGGTTCCAGTTAGCCAAGTTTGTTTATTATGCAATAGTTGACATAATTTGTTGTTGGGTGTCATCGTTTTGTTTTATAAATGTTAAGTTTATACGGGGAGCATATTGCTTAACTAAAACTACATTTCCATATTAATGGTAATGTTATATATTTATGTTCATGTATTATGGATTTACTAATATATATACTGAATCATGTTAATTCTTATATGTATTCTCTTATAATTTTATCTGGTTATTAGTCTAGCACGTTTTATTCAAATGAGCTTGGTGTTTTGTAACACGACTCTGAAAAAATGCAGCCTTTTCTATTGCTCTTAAAGGGGTTTACAAATTTGGAAACCAACTGCAAGTTAGAAAGTCTATCATCAGCCACATACCACGTACATTCCATTTTCCAAGAAACCAAGAAAAATAAAGTAACACTATAACGAAAAGAGAAAATAATCCAGAGGTGGAGAAGATGAGGCAAAGGAGAAACCATGTAATCCCATTGCCTGCTGGTGGTGCTGATGACGTTGAGAAATTCACCTCCACGAACCTTCACATCAAGAAATCACACACATCTCTATCCAAAATCTTTATCTTTTGTTTGGTTACTCGAATAATCAATTCATTGCTTGTACAAACATATTTCAACCCGGATGAACACTGGCAGGCTCCTGAAGTAGCTCACCGAATTGCATTTGGGTAAAGCCAAAATGTAACTAGCTATTTTCAGATTCTTAGTTTCTTACTTTATATGACGAAACAATGAAATTTATGGTCTCAATTTTCAGATATGGGCATTTGACATGGGAATGGAACAAGGGTATAAGGAGTTACTTGCATCCTGTTCTTTTTGCTGCCCTATATAAAGTTCTTGCACTTTCCCATCTGGATCTCTCTTGGTTCATGGTACTTGTTTTCTTCTAATCTTAATTTCAACAATGTCGACCAACGTCATTTATAACTCGTCGTAGAATTTGATATTTATTTCGAAAAGCTTGTTTTTTTATACATTTGATTGCCACCTGATGAAGCATGATGCCTTGTAAATGGCTTAATGGTTTGATAGATTAACTTTGATGTGATTTTGTAGTCCGTCTACACTGTTATTGTTTGTAGATAAACTCTCAATAAAAATGTGTGACACTTTCGTACACCATCGATCTTTCACAGATAAGGGCTCCACGTTTGCTGCAGTCTGTATTCTCTGCTATTGGTGATCTCTACTTGTACAAATACTCAAAGGCGTTGTTTGGTGACAATGCTGCCTATTGGGCTGTATCCTTGTTCGTTCACCTCTGGATTAATTAAGCAAAAGATATTTCCCTTTCTTTTCGGAGTTCACTTTATTTTAGTTCACGATGTTCTGATTTGTTCTTGTTTAGAGTTTTCACACAGTTCCTGATGCCTTTTTCTCTTCCTTGCTCTCCATTTTTTTTCCCTTCTATTATTTTTTTTTTTTGGATTTGGAACGATATATTTTGTAGTGCTTAACTTGGTGACAGCTCTTTGCGCAGCTGACCAACTGGTTCATGTTCTTCTGCATCACTCGTACTTTATCTAACAGCTTAGAGACTGTTCTTACCGTAGTGAGTTTATATTACTGGCCCTGCATGAGACCCTCGTCTTGTTCAGTTGTATCTGTTTCGAGAAAACGTGCTCTGGCTATAGCTGCATTGGCATGTGCGGTTCGGCCGACAAGTGCTATTTCTTGGATTTATGTTGGCATTCTAGAACTCTTTACGACACGTGATAAGCTAAAGTTTGTCCTTGTTGAAGCCGTTCCCATTGGGTTAGTATGTTAAATTATGAGTTGTGCTTCTTGTGCTTGTGAACTCTGCTTGGATATAAGATTTTTTTTTATTTTGTTTGGATTTTTTGGTTTTGTTTAGTTAATTTTGAAAAAAGTGGTATTATAGTTGTTAGTGGATTTTGAGTTTATCTTAAAATAATATTTAAAATAAAATAACTAAAGTTGATTTGATGTAAAAGTAGGAGAGAGATGATGTATGTGAGTGGATGAATAATGAATTGAAGTTGATGTATTATGTAAGAATGATTAAGTGATATTATTTAATTATATTGATAATATTGAGGATAGTGTGGTTTGGTTAAAAATGATTGATTTTTTTTGAGAAAATTGGTATCCAAGCATGCTCTTAGAGTTTCCATTTCTCTCTAGTTTTAGTTAGTTTTAGTGTAGTCTTATATTGGCAAACTGATTATATACATTTCAATTATGTATATGGTCACTTGGAATTTGGATTACTGACTACGTTAGTTCATTGAACAATTTTTAATGGGAGTTATCCTCTGACTCTCCACTTCTGGACCAAAATTGCCAGCTTGAATGCTTTAAAAGCTTATCTGTCACCTTCAAATATTAATTTGCAGTAGTATATAAAGTGGTTTATGAACTATGAAACTAATATTATCACTTCACGTGCACGTCTGAGAATATTAACAGTGAAAAACTTACGAGCACCTTCCAGTAATTCACTGCAGTAGATGATTTTCCAGAATATCTCTTGAACCTAATTTGTGTATAGTTTTTCGAGTATTCTTTTCACTTAGTCTTTATTGATAAATTTTGAAAGATAGTGCTATTGACTACATTTGCCTCAGCAGTTATAGATTATCTTTTGTAGGCTTATATTTTCATTGAACACAAATATAATTATTTTGCACTCGGCATATACTATCAGGGGGCTTGTGCTCGGTTTTATGCTCTTATTGGATCGTCAACTTTATGGATCGTGGGTTGTGGTGCCCCTTAACTTTGTAAAGTTCAATTTCCTTTCTTCTGGAGGGGACTATTATGGAACTCATGCATGGCATTGGTACATCACACAAGGCTTCACGATCATGCTATTCACATATATACCTTTTTCTATAGCCGGTATTATTATGTCCCAAGAGTGGAAGCTTTCTGGGCTTATTATATGGGTCTTGGGAGTATATAGCCTTCTCGGCCATAAAGAATTCAGGTACAATGGCCTCTGATTATATTATACGTTCATTTTTTTTAATAAATTTATTGTTTTGGAGCAGTAATAATTCTCATTATCTTCATATTCCAAATATATAATCAGGTTTGTTCTTCCAGTGCTACCCATAGCGTTGATTTTCTCAGGGATTACATTAGCCAATTTACATCAACGTGAAATCTCAAAGAGGAAGCAAACTTGGAACTCTCGTAAAAACCGCTGTTCCAGACTGAATATGTCAGTCCTTTTCCTGCTTGTAACTAATCTCCCGATGGCTCTATACATGAGTTTGGTTCATCAGGCAATGTTAATGTTTGCTTGTTATTACATGTTTTCTTGTTTCTGTTTTTTTACATGAGTTTCTTTGTTACACTTACACATATTATATAAATACGTAAATACAAGGGAAAAATGTATATAATGGCACCACCTTTAAGGTTTTTGTAATTTAATCACCACCTTTTACTATTTGCGTGTAAATCACCACCTTTCATATGTTTTGCAATCGAATTATAAATTTATCTTCTATTACACTTTTCTTCTGTACCTAGTCAGCCATGTAGACATTCCATCTATGCCCAAGTCAGCTCCAATCTAACGGAAGTTAAATTTATGCTTCGATCTCCAAAATGCAAATAGCAAAAAGTGGTGATTAAATTGCAAAAGTCTTAAAGGTGGTGCCTTTAATTGCAAAAGTCTTAAAGGTGGTGCCTTTATATGTTCGCCTGAACTGAAAATAAATATGTATCTTTTTGTGGTTTTTTTTTTTAAACAGAGAGGGGCAGAGGATGTGATGAACCATCTCTCGAGAGAGGCTAGAGACAATAGAGTAAAAAGTATCCTCTTTTTGACACCTTGCCATTCTACGCCATACTATTCGACCCTACATAAAAACATCTCTATGCGTTTCTTGGATTGTACACCAAGGTACAACATAACATAGAACTTGTGTCTTGTGGATTTCATTGCAATTGCATCATTGCATGATCTTTAAAAAAAAAATGTTTTGAGCAGTGAAGAAAGAGGAGAGTTGGACGAGTCAGACCAATTTTTACACGATCCCCTTGCTTTCGTGACAAGACTTGCGAGAAATTGGACTCCGCCGAGCCACATTGTTCTATTTGATTCCCAAGAAAAGTCGTTGAAGGAGTTCCTTGTCTCTAACAAGTTTTATGAGGTTCGAAAATGTTGGTTATAGTTTTATGGTCTTATTTATTTATTTATTTTTGGTGATATTTATTTATTTATTCTTGTGAGATCTTTATTTTTTGTGATATTACTCACAGGTGAAAAGGTTCTTTCATGCTCACTTCAAAGTGGATCGGGAACTTCAAGGATCAATCGTTGTGTACACTTCTCAAGGGCAGTGAATTTTGGAGTCTGTAAGTTTTGTGTGTGTTAGGCTTTTAGCTTGTGTTGTTAGCTATTTGGTATTTGTTTGAGTGTGTTTCGACCAATCTCTTGTTAGTTCTAGTGCGGATAACAGAAGATGAGTCTAATTTTATCTTGTGCGGATTTTAGTTTCGTCCCGTATGGATTTGTTTTTACTTGTAGCTCTGTGTGTTTTTGTTTGTGGTGAGTTGCCTGCAGTTACAAAGTTGGAGGGAGAACACGACCTATGACTTTCCGATTAATACCTCATCGTTCATTTTTAGTAGAATTTTGTTATATTGTATCCAATTGGATATGATTTTAAGTTATATAAAGT